ACAGCAATGAGATGAATCAGATGATTAAACAATGATTTTTACGTGCCGCAGTTGGTGCTTGGTGTGTGTGTGTGTCTTTCTCTCTCTCCCTCTGATTCCCCAGGTGCAGCCTGATTGTTCCCAGGTGCAGCCTCTCCCCAGGTGCTCCCAATCCCCAATCAGCGCCTCTATAAAGGACCTGAGGAAGGCTGCAGTCGTTCTCTCCTTCTCCTCTGGCTGCATGTGTACAAGCCTGTGTTACGTGCTGTAGTGTCTCTGTGTGAGGCCTAGTTAACCTGTGTACTGCTAATTGTTAGGAGATGTGTGTCTTTGTGTATTGTTTTACGTTAGGTCACTTTCTTTTTAAAGAAAGTTGTCCTTAGTTAATTAAGTTTGTTTTGCAATTTGGCTGGTGAACTTCTTTACTTTTTTATTAATTAAAACCTCACTTTGTGGCTTCAGCATTCAGTTTCCTCTCCTTTTTCTCTCGGCCGGTTATTTTGTGTGTTGTTATTTCCCTTTGTACCCCTAGATTTAGAAGGGAACGTAACAGTGATCTTAAAATATATTTTAATTTATTTTTTGCATTTTGTTGTAATCATTATTTTAATACTTTCTGCTGACACTAGGTGGGGCTGTGTGCCCCTAATGACCAGTCGCCACTGTTTAGCATGTTTGGCGTGTGTTACCATTAGCATACCGCACCGCTGTGGAACAACGCTGGCACACTGTCCTCGTCCGATCCACCACTCGCACTCCATCGTTGTTGTAGTCCACAGGGAACCCGACATTTCCCCACACAGCTGATTTTAAAAGAAGCAGGTGGGTTCTAGCTCCTGTCATGGATGTATAATAAGAACTGGATACAGCGTGGGAGGCGGGGCCTCATTCATTCCTATGAGAGTTGCTCATTGGCGCATGATGATAAAATGGCCCAACTTTTGAGAGAGTGAAACGTCACAGATTACCCAGCATGCCTGAGAAGTACCCGTATGTGCACTCATAGCGCATGCGCAACTTTAACCAAAATGCTCGTTCACATTAAGCACGTCAATTTGCGTACACGTAACAGCACCGCGCGTTCATGACAGCATGGTAATGATTTGTTATTATGATGGATTTGATATTAACGAGGCGGCAGCATGGGCGGCAGTTAGCAGCTAGCTAGTAATTATGCTAATTTATACATCAATCCTTATACTTTTATATTACGCTGTAACAGGATCTAGTGATATCCAAGCAACAGAGCTTCATTTGCATGAAATAATTATTGCACTGTATATATATATATATATGTGTATATATATATGTATTATAAATAGTGTAATGGCTACTGCCCTGAATGACAGACTTTTTTCCCACTCGTAAAAAAAAAGTATTCGTCGTGTGACTGCATGTTGCCGAACCGTGATGGTACGGGACGAATACGGATACAGTTACACCCCTACAAGCTAATGTTCACTTCAGATTCAAGAGAAAACACCTTGTTTGTATTGTTCCAATCACTTGATTTTGGAGCAGATTTTGGAGCAGTATTTTTTCCAGTGTTTCTGAACGAGGATGCTTCCACACTCCTATTAAGAATGAACGCACTGTTACTTCGCTTAGAAGCCCTATCAAACCTTTAGGCCTACTTGCCAAAAGAAACCGTGTTGTAATACTTTTTTCAGGGAAGAAAATAACAATTCAAGTTCCAATATGTGAATTGTTTTATCCAAATAACACATTTCTGGGACTTACGCCATTGTTTGGAGCTGCTGGCTGCGTGAGAGCGGCCTGTTATTACGCAAACATCATAACAATGTTTTTTTAATATGTTCAATGCCAGAAGGATGTAACTTTGACCATGGGATATCAAATACAAATGATATTTGAAATAACGAGAGCTACCAATGTGATCAATAGCTGGTAGAATGCTAACGTTCACTTGCTAGCTTGTTTGATGTTAAATGTACATTTGCTAAATAATAGTTACACAAATAGCTAACACTCACTAGTTAGCTAGGTAGAAAGATAACTGGGTTTGCTAGCTATCTTGTTAGATATGTAGCTAACAATCCGATAGCTAGCTAATCAGCAAACTGACAGGTTAAGTGGGTCTTTAGGTAAGCTTGTTGAGCTTCACGTGGAACTAATGCATAGCCGCGTGAAGTAGGGGTGCTGGGGGTGCTGCAAAATCCGAGTCATCTAGGTCGTAGGTCGTTGGGATAGTGACGTAATTGACGTGACACACACTGCAGAGTGACAGTGACTTTCTAGAATGGCGCAAAAACAGGATTTTTTCCAACAAACAACCCAATAAAAAGAGTGGACCACCAGCTACTCCTCAGCCCACCACCTCTACAACTCCTCGCTCCGTCTACTTGTGAGCCACCGGAGTCAGGACTGGGAGAACTTTTCCCATTACCACCAGCGATCGAGAAAATGTGGAAGGAGAAGAAGCTAGTGTCGCTAATTTGGAATCAATGGAGAAGCCGCACCAGACAACTGTCTTCAATTTTTCCGGGTAGACAGTTTGACAAAGAACCTTCTGTCGGTCATTTAATGGAAGTTGGTTTGACAGATGGAAGTGGCTCCATTATGTTGAGGAAAGTGACCATATCATGTGTTTCACCATAGGCGGCGCGTGAGGCTCAGGTTTGGGGAAGGCTAAATAACTTCTTTTTTTATCTGACGCTGCCCGCTATAGAAAAGAGATCAACTCAGTGAAAGCACCGCCTGCTGACCGATCAGAGCTCACCCTGTGTTTCACATGTGTCAAAGCAGTTCAGAAACAGCTAATTAATGAAGACAGCGTGAGGATGGATGTTAGCAGCTTTGTAAAGGGGGGATTCTCTAACTGGCGGAAGGCAACAGAAAAATTCAATGAACATGAGAAATCGAAACTTCATAGTGATTCAAGCCAACGTATTGCTGTAGTATTGCATCATAAAAAGAAATGTGGTATTTGTTCAGGTGAGTCCGGTTTGGGTGTGTTACGTTTTCAGTTCACGAAAACAAATGACTCATTTTAACAAAGTCATAATTGTTGAAGGGTTTATGGAGGCTAACAAAGGACTGCAATTACAGTGAATGGATGATTGTTGACATTTGTAGGGTGGTGTGTGTGGTGATTATACCTCTACGTGCACAATAATGCTTTGTGTTTTTTTTATGAAATGTTAAGTGTTTTTGACCTACATTTTACAAAAAAAAATTAAAGGTCCCATGTCATGGCCATTTCTACTGATCATAATTCCATTGTTGAGGTCTAGAATAGATTTACATTGTTGATTTTCCAAACTCACATTGGTTTCTCAAACAGCATCTCTGTATAATATGTGTATTCACTCTCTGTCCTACACGGCTTGTTGGAGCTGTGGTTTCCTGGTCGGCAAGACAGCGAGACACAGCGAAGCCCAGCCCAAAAAGCAGCCCGAGCAGACACACACACCCGCAGCCTTTGAGGGTTTTTGACTCTGCAGACCGTTTACATGCAGAAAAACCCTACAAAACAACACAAGGGGACGGGTGATACCGGAAAAGCATGACATGGGCCCTTTAATAATGCAAAAGTGTGACGTCCGTCTTCTTTTTCCGTTGTTTATTACAAACCAAGTTATCAATCAGACTGCCTTTGTTGGATTACAATTACAAAGCCTTTCAGTTCATCATTGTTAATGTGTGCATTTCCATTTGTATATAATACTAAATAGTTACATTGGGTTTTTAGCACCTGCTGATAAGGGCATAAGTTCTTACGTTGGTAATGATTGTTGTGTGATGAAAACCATTTTCAGCTAACATTTTGGACATGTTATGTTTATATTAGTGCTGTCAAAATGATCGCGTTAACGGCGGTAATTAATTTTTTGAATTAATTGCGTTAAAATATTTAACGCATTTAACGCATGTGCAGAATGGCCCGCCCCATACGTGCCACCAGTGGCAGCGCCAGGGTATGGCTGGGGTAGGCTACACCCATACCAAGAAATGGCTTAGCCCCACCATGAAAAATGATTGTTAAAGTAAGCAAAATAAAGTCCGCCAACTCGCGGAGTAAATTGCACAGACAGCAGTTAGTAGATTGATTTCAGTAGCCACGGTTTTGAAAACTTTTGTCACGTAGTGATCGTCTTCTCAAAAGAACATCTTTGATAACGGCGTGGTGTTGTTGCAGGAAGTCCCGACGGAGAATACTTTTGCTGTAGTACAGGGGTGCACATAACTGGTACGCAGGTTATGTGCGTAATCTGAAATGCGTACCGTCACTTGTGTCACAAAGCGCATTTGCGTACCGACGTACTTGTGAAGCTTTTCCAGAAGGCGGTTAGATCACCGGATGACAGAGTCGGTCTCCGTGTGCACAGACAGGGTTGCTGTTAACGTCGGTCTGTACAACGGAATTGTGCCAAAACTACGCCAACCGGCTGCGGAGGGAGACTCCCCCCCTTCACTGGAGAACTGCGCTAAAACAGCTGATCACCACGTTCACACTCTGTGGTCAAGAAGTACTCCACTAGCCGCCCCCCCCCGTCGACTTTCCTGAAGTACTCCCCCGTTGATAGAAATCAACACGTAATGAATTAAGACCCCCACGGTTTGATGATTGATAGGTGTGTGGGTTGTCTTTCATTTTGACACGCAGAAAAAATGTATAATAAACATAGATACTGTATGTTAAATGGATATATCCGCCTTCTTTCATGTATCTTTCCATTCCCACAACAATATACATAAATAAATGGCATATTTTGGAAAATAGTTCGAATGTGATTAATCATGATTAATTAATTTTTAAGCTGTGAGTAATCTGATTAAAAATTGTAATCGTTTGACAGCCCTAGTTTAATATGCGGTAACACTTTATATTACAAAAAACCAAGCCATACTATGCTGCGTTCATGGGGCTACGTGGAAGTGGGGAAGGACAATGCTTGATTGCGGATACGTAATTTCACATTCTAGCACAGTTTATTGCTCTTATACCTTGATTGTTGCCAACTACGATGCTCAAACAGGCTCGCTTAACGGAACTTTGACGCTGGTATCAGTTTACCACCAATCACGGGAGTATTGTGTATAGAAAGTATTGAGTTATATTTCTCAGGCGCTACCTAACATCCATGAAGGCAAACATGACAGAGGGGAGGCCTGCCACTCAGGATGCCAAACTACTCTTTGCTAAGCCCAGCCGCCCCCTCAAGCAACATCAGGTGCCAAAAGTTTGAAAGTGAAAAAAAAAGATCTGAAAGTGAAAAACGATCTGAAGGTGAAAAGCAATGTGAAACCTAAAAAAACAAGATTCTAAACTGAAAATGTTAACTGTGTTCTTATTCTCAGCGTCCAGGAAAGATAAGCTTAAAAAGGAGACTAAATGGAGTCTCTGAGATGTTTTGAAATGTGGTACTTTAATTAATAAAAAGGCGCGGTAAAGTCACAAATAGGATATTGTCTGACAGAAAAGCAGCTGTCTCTGGCTCTCGCCAGCAGAGGGAAAAGAGGCCGAACCGCTCAGGTGCTGCTGTTATATAGCTTCTGCAGGCTCCTCCCTGCGGGCCGTCCCTCCACATCTTAATGTCCGTTGTTACGTTAAACAGAGGATTCAGGCATTGGTACATTCAATATATACTTAAACAACGCCTCTTCTCCTCATATTGTCTTTCATCATCACTTTTCCTTTAACACATTCTAAACGTTGTAGTTAATATTCTAAAAAATACAGAAAATACTTCACGCTGGTTTGGTTTCTGGTCATTCCGGATGTTGTCACATCTTACCACGTCTGTAAACAATAACTTTATTCAAAATAAACTGTACCTTCATTTAATATTCAGCAATAATAATACGTCTATAGTTGCAGTGTTAAAATCAGTAGGTTTTGGTGTGCATCACTCCATGTCATTTCGCTACTAAATTCACCTCTATAAGAAATGGTAAACTAGCCACATGCTAACTGCTAACCGGAGATGAAGGATTTTCAGAATAAAAGCTTAACAACTGGTTGTGCACAATAATTTTCTGGTTTTTCAGTATAAAACAGCATGTAAACTGAAGGTACATTTAAGGTACATTATGCCATCAAAACATTGATTTTAATTTCTAACAAAAATAATTGTTTTGAATCTGAAAACGAAAAATCTGCAACTGAAAGGATTCTGTAGCATTTCCCTCCGAATAATGGTCGTAGGCTTTACTTTACTGATGAATTAGAATGTATTCAAACTCCAGACCCAATTAAAGAGCTTCAGCCTCTTCGGGGGGTGCTAACATTTAAATATACAAGTCCATTCTTCTCTTTGTCCGCCGTTAAATAGAAGATATTACTTTCTCCGTCACGTTGTTTCTAATGCCACAACAACTTCCTGTCAAACACGTAATCTCGCCTTCAAAATAAAAGCATACAAATGAAACAGGAAGTTAAACCTAAATTACATTTACGATATATATATATAAAACTACAACAAAAGCAACAAAAACAATGCAACATCCCCCTTCAGTCTCAGATAACACAAATTGGGTTATCTACACTCCCACCAAAATTATGAATGTTTCATTTTCAAAACATGAACTATGAAGAATTTTCACATTTAAGAATGTCAATGTCTCTTTGCAGCAGCGACGTGCAGTCAGGGGAGGCAGAGCGTTCTCATAGACTGGCCATACTACAATGTAATGGAAAAACAACTAAAGAAAAACTAAATAGTAATAATAATAAAATGTCTCCACTGATCTGTGTTGTAAATGTGATTTCTGTTTGATTCCAATCGCTTTTTATAGTCAAAATCAGCAAATTTGCCGAGCTCCGCTACAACTACATGGTAGCGATGAGAAGTGAGGCAGGGACGAGCTCTGCCTCACGTAAGCCCACAGTAACTGGCTGGAGCGCGGGCACTAATTTAGAGCGGGCACTTATTTTGTGAGCGCGCTCAAGCCAGTTACTGTGTGGTAAGGTGAGGCACAGATGAGCTCTGCCTCACCTCAGAATGCGTCACCCCACAGAAACTGGCTGGAAAGCGGGCCCTAAGCTCATGCCTGCACCATCTCACTGTATGTCACCAATGTAATGTTTGTAGATCCCTTTATTACATTTATCCTCGCCATCCATAGTCTCTAAATAACTTATTTCACGTATATATGATAGAGATTGTTGTCCAGAAGGATAGCATGGACTTCATCTTCAAGTCAAGGTAAGACCACATTGGTAATGAAAATTGGTTCTTACTAAGAAAGAACAATCCAATATTTAGATGTTGGGTATCCTTTTGTTGAACGGTCTGTTTAAAATGAATCGAAACATCAGACTAAAAAAGCTTTTGAAAATAAACAGAATATCTCGATTAAGGTCAGAATATAATATTTGTAAATCTGACTCTGAAAGAGTCAGTGCCTCACCAGCCATGAACCTCACCGCACGTCACTGCTTTGCAGTCATCAGTTTAAGAAGCTTCTAACAAAAGAACCAGCTTCTACACTGGGCGCTCCAATATGGAAGGTTTACCAAGGCGCTCACCCTTCTTGTTCAGTCTCTTATCTCCAACTGAGATTTTCACTCTCCTCACAAATCCATCCTTACCGCTGACAGTCTCTAAGACTCTTGCCAGTCTCCATGGTCATCCATGTCCATCACTATATCACAGACTAGTAGATTTCTGTTTGGCGTGTGCCAGCGCTGTCTTGTGGACATGTTGTGAAGATATTTCTGTTTCCAGCGACTCCAGAACTGCTCTGCCAGATACTGTACATGACGCCATCTTTTTTACAAGTCCTCTCTTGGGAACTCACCAGGTGGGGGCAGTGCTGTGCCAGATTTCATGTTGATGAAGTGATTTGGGGTGAGTGGTTCTAAGCTGTCGGGACTGTTTAAGTTATCCACAGTGAGGGGACGACTGTTGACTATGGCCATGGCTTCATAGAGTAGAGTCCGTAGTGAAGCGTCATTGAGTCTATCATGGGAAAGTGACAGAGTAGTGTTCAAAACACTCCTGACAATCTTTATCTGGTGCTTTGTTTTCTCATGGTTGTGAGCTATAATCAGCTTCGTCACGTGGTGCTCTTTAGGGGTGACCTTTGGGTGCTTGAATGAGTCAGCGAGTGATGAATGGCGGAGACTTCCTCCCACCTTGAGGATACCATCTGTGTCCAGAAAAAATATCACGGTCGTTTAATTTGTTGCAACACTGTAGTTGACTTCCTTTCTTTAACAGTCTTATTTCTTTCTCATATGTTTGACTTTGCAGATCTTGGATTATGACAAGTTCAGCACTTTCCAGTTCGCTCACTGTAACATGACCACCTGACTTGATGTTTTTAGCTCGTCGCAGAAGGCGGGCCACAGCTCTGATGCTCGGGAACATGACGAAAACTTTGACAGACGGACGACAAGACTCATCGTTTCTGTGGTCTTTGTTTGCAGCGCCTGTGCCTTTTTAGGGTGGTAGATGCCATGATGGGGAATGTACCATTTTTCACCATGAGTTCCGTTGTCGTTTACTGCTTCGACATCATCTCTCTCAATGATTTATTTCATGAATGTTGTGTAGTCTTTTTTGTATTTCTCATCTCTGCAGAACTTTCGTCGTAGATGACAGAGCCTGATTTCAGCAAGTTTTTTGTTATCAGGTAATTGTGGCCGTTGCTTGAAGGGCAGAGGCATCTCATAATGTCCCTTGTCATTTTTCCTTATGCCGTCTTTTGAGTTTTCCAAGGAAAACAAGATCCTCTTGTAAAGACAGTTTTGGTCATCTCCTTTTGTATCCTTAAAGTCTGACTCCAGGGCGCCTATCACATCCATCGGCGTAACTGGAGGGAGGTCCTTTACCGTAACTCTGTGACACAGGCTGGATTCAGATTTCTCGTGAGACGGTGTTGAGCAACCTACATGCTCCACCCCAAATCTGTCAGGATGGCAAAGGGCTTGTTGTCTTTTCCTGTTAACACCTGTCTGGGTGTCAGTGCTCTGGGACAGTTGTACCCGATTAGGAGTCCGACATCACAGCTGAGGAGAGGTGGCATGTTATCTGTGATTGCTGTTAAGTGAGACCATAGTTTTGCTGTGTCATGAGAGGGAATATGATCACGATTCGCAGGAATACAGTCTCTTGTGTAACCATGAGGAAGGTCGATGTGCAAGCAGGAATTAAAGCCTCGCACACGGAGTCCAGACACTCTTTCACTCGTCGTGATAATGTTCTTTCCAAGCATGGTGGTAAGTTTCAGTTTCACAGGATTGGTGTCGGCTTGTAGTTCATTGCTTACCTCTTGGTCAATGAAGGTGCTGTCGCTTTGAGTATCTAATAATGCATAGACAAGCTGTTCTTTGGATGGGTTTTAGCTGAGGACACCCACATAGGAACGATCATGGAAGTGCTGCCTGTCTGACTGCCTCCAGTGACATTGAGTACCGTAGCTGCTTTGGTTTCATTTTCACTATTAAGAGCTGTGTTCACAGTGAAAACAGATCTTTCTTGATTTTCACGTCTACTGAAGTTCTCATCGTGGAGACAGGTAGGGTGCCTTCTCTGACATACATCACAAGTATGGCGGTAACGACATTCCTTTGCACCGTGACCTGGCTTCATGCAGCCGTAACACAGCTTATTATCTTTTACATACGTTCGTCGATCCTCCAGGGACTTTTCCATAAAGGTTGTACACTTGGGCAGTTGATGCTTGTCATATTTGCACCACAAGCAGGGGGGCGTTGGTTTTTAACTGTTTATGGCAGTTTGCGTGCTGAAGACATTTGCTTTATTTCCCCTTGTTTCCTTAATGCCTCTTTTGTCATATGAGTTGGATGAGTAGAGAGCATGTAGAGAAGTGACTGGGTTGCATGCTATCTCTGACTCTAATGACACAAAGTGAGTGAATTCCTCAAAGGTGGGAAACTCTTTACCTTCCATGAGAGCGATTGTAACCTGGCGATTCCAACGTGCTGTTAGCCAATCAGGAATTTTCTGGATTAGCTTTTGGTTTTCTTTCGCAGTCATTTAGAATTTCTAGACCCTTCACATGGGGCATGCTTTGCAGGCAGGCATTTAGAAAGTCAGAGAATGTTCTTAACCCTTCAGCGTCTTTGGGTTCTATTTTCTGCCATTTTGACAGCTTCTCCCTGAGAGCTCTTTGGATCACAAATGGCTGCCCAAAGCGTTGATTGAGCTCATTCCATGCATCTATGTATGCCTGTTCATCATTTCGATAGAATGTTCCTTCAAGGCATTTGTGAGCAGGGCCACTGACATGTTTCTTTATATGGCAAAGTTTATCAGCTGAAGAAAATGCGCTTTCGGTCCACTAGTGACATGAATGACATTCTCCATTCAATGAAGAGGAATGGGTCTCCACTAAAGACTGTGGGCATTGGCATTGGGAGTCTGTTTATGGCTATGCTGTATTGTATTGCTTGGGCCAAACAGGACACATCAGTAGTGGGTGTTGGTGCCGTAATGTGAGGGTTTTGACAAATTACAGAAGGGCTGAAAGGGATATGTCTCATGTTCTGCTGTGTAGACTGTCTATCAGTTTCCTGTCTGATTTCTCTGTCGTAGATCTCCAGTCTGGCACGAGCAGCCTCCATTTCCCTTTCTGCTTGTAGACTCTCTAATTTAGACTTCTGCATGTGTAGTTTCTCCTCCATCATTCTTATTTCTTCCTTTTGCTTTCTTTCTTTTTCCATGACTTTATATTGAGCCTCCTTTGCAGCAAGCTCTGCGGCTGCATCAGCTCTTTTTACAGTTAGGACCGAGGTTTCAGAATGGTGACAGGCGCTTGAATGAGAGGCAGTGCCATGAATGGAGTACGCGTAGTCATGGGCTGATAGCTGGCGAAGACAGTGCCTTTCACGCTCCGCATCAAAATCGCCATCTATTTCCGTTAAGCGGTCGT